GTGTTACGCTTAAGTTTGAGGAGCCCATTAGGTCTCCAAGTGGAAATCTCAGTCGGGTATGTGTGTCTGGAGTTTGGGAGAGGTGGGGGTAGGAGCCATAACTTGGGGAGTCATCATGGACATGTGGATGGTGTTCAAAGCCAGGAGACAGGTGAGTGTAGACAGAAGAGTCAGAAGACTGAATCTGGCTGGAGGTGACGGGGGCAGGAGGACAGTGGGATCCAGCAGAGACCAGGATCAGTCGTGAGCAGGGGAACGTGAGAGGGCTGGTGTCCTGGAGTCAATGAGAGCCTTTCCTGAAGGAAGGAAGGGTGTCAAATGCTGCTGAGAGGTGGAGCGAGATGAGAACTGCGAATCCACTTTTGGGTTTGGCAACATGGAGATCAGGGAGAACTTTAGCAAGAGACGTTTTGGTGAGATGATGTGGACGAAAGATGGGCTGGAGTGAGTCCAAGAGAGAAGGAGAGGAGAGTAAGTAGTGATGGCGGGTACAGACAAGTCTTCTAGGAGTTTGGCTCCACATGGGGGCAGAAAGATGAGCTGGGGGGAGATGTGAGTGCAGGAACGGCAACAGCACCACATGTGAGTATGTTTGAGGGAATGATCTCAGAGGAACGGTCACTACTTCAGTCATTGGTGATCCCGGGTCCTGTCTGGGTGACCCGCTCGCCGCATGGAGAGACGACCGCATTAATGGAAAGAGCATTCATAAAAAAATAAAAATAAAAATAAAGGGCCGGCCCCGTGGCTTAGCGATTAAGTGCGCGCGCTCCGCTACTGGCGGCCCGGGTTTGGATCCCGGCGCGCACCAACACACCGCTTCTCCGGCCATGCTGAGGCCGTGTCCCACATACAGCAACTAGAAGGATGTGCAGCTATGACATACAACTATCTACTGGGGCTTTGGGGGAAAAAAATAAATAAATAAGAAAGAGCATTCACCCACGTGCTGCGCTGGACGAGACTCTCTCTTCCATCTCTTGGAGCCAGGTGACCTCCGAATGTGTTTCCTCACCAGTAATGTGGATCACAGTCCTTACCTCCCAGGATGGTGGAGAGTATTAACGAGGGGGTGCTCATAACATGCCTGACACGATGCTTAGCACATAGTAGATGCTCAGCATTACAGAAAACTAATCAGCCTGATTCTGGTCTTCCAGAAGTTTCCACATCAAGGCAGATGACCTTACAATTTCAACATATGCTAACCACATGGAGACAGCAGACTGTCTCAGCCAAGCTCATGAAAGGCCAGATGTTTTCACAGCAACAGGACTGGGATAAGTGCCTGTAATTAGGGTGGACGAGTCGTCCCGGAAGCAAGAGGAGGTGACGGGGTCCAGGCTGAGATGTGGCTGTGACTGTTCGGTCCATGTTGGTAATGTATGCGCAAGGACATGTGAGCCGTGAGGAAAGTTTGCTTGAGATGAAGGGAGAGCACCCATGGGAGCATTAGAGCATGTGGGAGGCAACTCGGCAAACATGGGAAGATGTGGACGTGGAAGACCCTGGTCTCTGGCACCCCAGGCAGCTGGAGAGCACTCAGCAGGGCACCAAGAGAGCCTGTGTGCAGGTTGTTGGGGAGGGGGACAGGGCACCAACAGATGGTCACGTGTGCAGCACAGGCGCCCCCGCCCTGTGTTAGGCTTGGGACACAAAAATGAGGCTGGTGGTAGGGCCTTGAGATGCTTCCAGGCCTCGGGAAGGAGACAAACAGGGCACCGAGTGCCGTGAAAGGAAATAGGCAGAGAGCATTACAGGATCCCAGATCAGGGCGCTCAGGCCGCCTGGGCGGGCAAGATGGTCGGGTGGCCATGTGCTGGCTGCACTGCTTGCTGGCTATGTGGCCTGAGGCAAGTCCTCTCCCGTCAGAGCCTGTGGTTCCGCAGGAAAGTCAGACTCAGGTGGGGGAGTGAGAGCAGCACCACCTTCTAGGCCTGCCAGGTGGTGGCTGCAGAGAATGTGCTGGGCGGCAACCAGCCGAGTCAGACCCTCCTAACTGGCTGTGGGAGAGGACCGGGGAAAGGGCTCCAGAGTTTCGTTCACTTCCTCCCCATACCAGTCAGTCAGTCCACAATCAGCACACCTCCTGAGCGCCTGCTCCCCGCCAGGCACCGCCAGGCAGGAAGGGCAGTGGGTCCTTGGCCACAGGTAGTCCACCCACACCCAGGGTGAGAGAGCACAAGGAGGAGACCCGCCAAGTGAGAGTCTTTCTGGAATAGAGCTTTCATTAGCCACGTTTCTTCAGGCGTATTATGTTTTCCAAGAGCACTTCTCACCCATTGTTTGATGCTTGTAAACTCCCTCGTGAACCAGACAGGGTAAGTGGTATTACCCCTGTTTTTTAGTTGAGGAACCAGGCCTAGAGAAGCTAAGAGACTTGCCAAATGTCACACAGCTTTTCAGTGGCAGAGGTGGAGCTAGAACCCTGAGCTTCTTGTAATGTATGTGACTGCTCTGGTTACACTGTGAAGTGTAACACCCCGGGGCAGTTTCTAGTTAGCTCCTAATGGAGGCTGGGGTGGGACCCTCAGCCTTCCTGCTCTCCCCCAGCGTGCCCTGGGCTGCAGGGGGGCCACAGGGTGGGGGGAGCCCTGGGTGGAGAAGCCCCACGTTAGGGAACTCCATTCCAGGAGCAGATCTGAGCCCAAAAGATTTGGAACATTGGGGAGGGAAGGCCCTCAGGGTAGGAGAGGATATTTTGGTGGAACAGAGTCAAAACCTCAAATAACAGAAGGTTATAAACAAGAGCTTCAGAGGGAGATGGAAGCGTTGTTCTGGATCACGAAGTGGCCTTGGGTGCCCAGTGTGAGGGAGGGCTCTGGCGATGCCCAGGATGGAGGAGCGTGCAGGCCTCCTGATGTCCAAGTCCTCAGAGCCTTTGGTACTGGGGACAGCTGTGCAAGCCAATTGGCTCCCTTCCCCTCTTGGGCTCTCAGCTTCCTCATGAGTCAGTGGAGGGGTTGCAGCCTGTGGTCTCCAGGGCCTGTGGCTCTGACACTTCCTGTGAGGATCCCGAGGCTCAGAGCTCAGAGACCTGACTCAGGTGCTCTTCAGACCAGAACGACCCCCGGGTCTTCCTTACCAAGAGGGCCTCTGCAGCAGGCAGGAGAAGGGGCCAAGGCCCAGCTTGGCGGGAGAGCCAGCCTGGTCTTTGGGGAGCAACCTGGCCCGGCGGCTGCCAAGTGCAGGCATCCGGCCCTCCCTCGGATGATGATCAGTTCCATCAACCCTCAGGCCCGCATGAGCAGACGCCCTGTTCAGAGGTGAGGACGCAGGCTCTACAGCCAGCTCGGGTGTCAGTCACCTCTAGTGAGCACATTATGACTGCCCCACCCCTCCCAGTCCTGAGAAAGGCCGGGGGTGTGGAGCGATCGTGGCGCTGACGCCGCACAGATCTGACGGGAAGGCCTCCCCGCTTCCTAGCTGGGGTGAGTTACGCCTCAGCCTGGGCTCCTCATCCGTGAAAGGACTGCCCACTGTGAGGCACCGTGAGCATTAGGTCAACCCACAGAAAGGCTGCTCACTGCCTCCCCAGGAGTCTCCCCTCCCCACCCTGGGCTCCCACAATGGCCTCTGCTCCCGTGGGGCATACTGTCTCGTCATAGTCTGTGGCAGAAGAATCTGAATTCAGGACTGACTTCTCTAGAACTGTTTTAGGCCTCACTTGCTTTTTAGGCCTGCGGGCTGTCCCGGGAAGCAGGTGTTCGTGTACACAGATCCGTGTGGCCCTGGCCCTCCCAGCGCAGAGGTCCACAGGGGGCCCAACGTTCAGAACTGCAGGCCAAACAGCGCCCGGCCCTGACCCTTCAGAGGGCGGACTGCTCCCCCAGCTCCCAGCCGGCCAGCCGGAGCTGCAGGCCATACCAGGGGCCCACGCCTTGGGTGGGCACACAGGGCAGCCATTGTCTGCGCAGTGCCTGGCACCCTCTCGTTTGCATAGCCACGTGAAGAATGCGAGAGAGCAGGCTGGGGACGTATCCCTGCAGAGGGGGCCAGGCTGTGGGGAGGAAGCAGGCCGGGGTTGCAGCAGGACCCTGCCTTCCCCCAGTGCAGCCCAGGAAAGGCGGGTGGGCCACTGGGGATGGAGGGGGTGGCTGAGGGGCTGGCGGGAGTGGGAGCAGGGTTGTGACATTCCCCCCACACCCACGCCCAGCAGATCCCATGGGGCTGAACTGAACGTGAGGGGATTGCTAATAAGGTCGAGGAGAGTTAAACATTCCCCTGCTCCAGAGGGCTGAGCTAGGATGGGGGGTGGCATTAGAAGGGCAGCCTGAACCCCAGGAATGCGCAGAAGCCGCGGCTCCCCCCCAGGCTGTTCTGGAGCTAGGGGCCAGGGCCTGGTGCCTCAGGCCCCCACAGGAGCTGCTGAGCCAGCCAGCAAGGGGATTAGCCGGGCTGAGCAGTCTGCCTTCCTTCGGCTGAGGCCAGGTCAGTGCCGTGTCCCACCTCCCTGCCAGGCTCCTTGCTGGCTGGCTGCCAGCTGTGTCCAGCTGTAATGGGGTCCCTCTTCTGCCCCTCTTAAATCTCAAACAGACCGCACAGTGCATATTCCCTGGTCTGGCCTCCTCTCTTTTTGACACACATGGCCCCCAGGTACCCAGGACCTCCTCTCCCTAACACCCCCTCCCCAGCCTAGTCTCTTCGTATCCGGCCTCAGACCCCCCGCCAAAAAGTTCTCCCTGATGTCTAACTCTAGTGTTACCTGCTACAAACTGGAATTCCATTTCTTTTCTGTCCGACAGTCAGAAGACAGAAAAACCCAAGGGTCGGATCAGCCATGCAAAGACAAAGTCCTTCGTCTCAGGGCTGGTGCTTGGGTAGGAATTAGGAGAATTTTAGGGCCCTTGCATCAGGTTCCTAAAGGGGTTTCCCTGGGCAGAAAGGTTCTGAGGGCAAGCGGGGTCACTCCTCCCAGCCCCTCCCTTCTCTATCCCTGGAGGGTGGGGGCCGGGCAGGGCACCCACCTGGGCCATGGCCCCGCCTCCCACCCCCAGGGGGCTGGGCATGAGCTCTGCTGGGGACCCTGCCCTGGCTTAGGCGGCCCTGCCCTGGCTTAGGCGGCCGCTGTGGGCGGGCTCTGGCCTTTCCAGCCCCTGGGCCTCCCCCTGCATTCTGGAGCCCGGAGCCGCTGCCTTTGCTGCTGCTGCTGCTGCACTGCCACCTCTCCTTCTCCGCCTCTGACCACCTGCTGCACCCCCACCCCTAGTCCAGCTGCTCCTCTCACCAGGCCATGACCCCAGCCCCTCCACGGACCCTGACCCAGCCCTGAGCCCTGGGACCCCTGGGCCATGGCCAACTCGGGCCTCCAGCTCCTGGGCTACTTTCTGGCCCTGGGCGGCTGGGTGGGCATCATCGCCAGCACAGCCCTCCCACAGTGGAAGCAGTCCTCCTACGCAGGCGACGCCATCATCACTGCCGTGGGCCTCTACGAAGGGCTCTGGATGTCCTGCGCCTCCCAGAGCACTGGTCAGGTGCAGTGCAAGCTCTATGACTCCCTGCTCGCACTGGAAGGTAGGCCTCAGGCCGGCGGGGGGGGGGGGGGGGGGGGGTGAGATGTGGGGGAGGGGGAGGCCCGGAGCCAGAGTCTGCCATCTGCACTGGGCTCCACGCTCCAGCCCCCTGACCCCCCACCCCATCCCGTGCACTTTTGAAAATCTAGGCCAGCCTGGTGCCCTGCGGGGGCAGGGGCCCTAGGTTCTGGCAGCTGTGGGTCCAGATCCCAGCTTTGCACTATAACCTTGAAGGAGTCACCACCTGTCTCTGTTCAGACGTCCTCATCTGGGAAGGGGGGTACTATGACTTTTCAGGACTGTGGGACAGTTAGAGGAGGGCCCGGCACTCAGAAAGGCTCAGTCAAGACCCTTCCTTCCACTTCCCCGGAACCCTGTATGCGGACACGCTTGTGCACACACACCTGCTTGCCAGTCCTGCCACCGAGACGAGTATGCCGGCACTTGGGTGCACCTACACACACGCACACACACATACATGCATGTGCACACACAGTTGCTTGGGCACGCAGGTCTGTCTCCCTCTCCTCCTGGAGTGTGGAGTTGAGCCTGACAGTTTGGCTCGGAAGCAGGCCCCGCTGCAACTCTCTCCCTGGCTCTGGCCGACACAACTGCCCTCTGCCCAGGGGCCCACAAGCCTGAGCCGGCTGCTACCACAGAACCCCTGCAGCGCCGGTCCAGGCAGGTCATCTGGCCTCCCTCGGGGACCCAGATGCCCTGAGGTGCCCCCGGGCCCAGGACTGACGTGAGCACCCACACAGCATGAGGCATACGGCTGCCGTGGGTGACTCCAAGGGCAGAGGGGAAGGTGACCAGAGTTCGAATGGCCAATGGGGAGGCGTCCCTGCCCAATGGCCAACCTGGGCTGAGCTGGGCCTCGGACACTTTCAACTCCTCCTTCTGCTAAATCTGAAAGGCCCCAGGAGGAGCTGCCCCCTGGTGCTTGGAAGGTGGGCAGCCCAAAAGGGAGTCCTCCGTCTGCCCCCGTCCCCCAGCCCCCCCTCCCGGGCCAGAAAGCAGCAGATGAGAGAACTCGAACCCCATGTCATGGCACACCACCAGAAGAGCTGGCAGGGGGTGAACAGTGGGGTTAAGCGAAAGCTTGGCCCCACGCCCTGTCCTCACTCCCTGTTGTCACCCCTGTCCTCACTATCCCCTCACATCTGCAGCCCAGGAGGAGCCTCCAGCTCCAGCCCCTCCCACCGCCCACTTCTCCCACTGCCAGCTCAGTCCCTCCCGCCCCGCCCAGGTCACATCCAGTCAGCGCGAGCCCTGATGGTGGTGGCCGTGCTCCTGGGCTTCGTGGCCATGGTCCTCAGTGTCATCGGCATGAAGTGCACCCGGGTCGGAGACAGCAACCCCATCGCCAAGGGCCGCATCGCCATCTCCGGGGGTGTCCTCTTCCTCCTGGCGGGTGAGTGCCCCTGGCTCCTTCTCCACCGTCTTGGCCGTGGCAGGTGGCACCACCCTGAGTGGCCAGAGCAGGGCTAAGCATCCCCTCCTTTGTCCTCAGGCCTCTGCACTTTGACAGCCGTCTCATGGTATGCCACCCTGGTGACCCAGGAGTTCTTCAATCCAAGCACACCTGTCAATGCCAGGTGAGTGCCAGGGCATGGCTTTCAAGGGAACAGGCAGGGCCTGCCGCTCACCTCCTCTGGGGCCATTTGGAGGGGGAAACAGGGGACAGGCCCCAGGTGCTGTCGCTGAGAGGCTCTCTGGAGGGGGGAGTCAGTTAGGGTGTGGTCGGGCCCTCTGAAGGGCCAGGAGGCCTGTGGAGGACACTCCAGGAGCAGCAAGCACTCCCGGGGAGCTAAGTGCCCTGACTCTGCACGTGCTGGCTGAGTGACAGGCAAGTTCCCTAATCTTTCTGCTCCTGGCCACTGCCCCCCACCCCTCAGAAAATGGAGTTAGGACCCAAGGACCCAGCTCAAGTGCAGTTGTGAGGGTTCAGGGAGATGGTGCAGCTAAGGGGTTTGCACAGGGCCTGGGCCCTGGAGAGCACTCAGTGAACCTGGGGTCTTAGTCCTGCAGAAGGAACAGTTACTTTGGCTCTGGGCTTGGGGGAATGAGGATGGAGAAGTGATAACAGCAGATCAGATGGTGGAGGGCCTTGCAGCATAGGCAGGTTTTGATCCCCATCCTGGCGTGGCAGACAGCCCACAATCCCTCCTCTGTGATGTGCAGAACGGTGGGGAGGGGGCAGGACCAGTAAGGCACTGTTGCAGAGGTTTGGAGCAGAGGGCCTGGGGCCAGGGGGCCAGCAGTGGAGAGTAGATTCAGAGAGATTGAGGAACTAGAATGGTCAGAACTTGTAAGGCCAGGGGTGTGGGGGCCAAATAGGGGGCTCTCTGGAGAGCCTGGACCTATCTTGGCTCCTCCCTCACCTCTCAGCTCTTCCCGGAGCAGAGAATGAGACAGTCTCAACCCCAGACACCCCAACAGGCCTTAGGCCCTGGAGTGGAGGGAGGATGAGAAAAGATGCCTGGGCTGTCACCGTCAGGAGGGCTCCCTGGAGGAGTCAGAATCGTGGAGTGGGGAGGAAAAGGAGACCTCAGGCATGAGGCTCATTCCCTGGGGCTGGCAGCTCTAGCCATGCAGACCTGCCAAGCAAGAGGCAGCTCAGCACAGAGACACCAGGCCGGTACTCATCCCTTCAGCACTCCCCAAGGCCACCTGGGTTGCAGGCATTATGCTGGCCCCTGGGGACATGGTTGAGTCCGGTGCTGTCTGCCCTCAAGGTGCTCTCCAGGGAGGAGGACAAGCAAGGGACTGAACGGCCACCCAGTGAGAGTCATCTCCGAGCACAGAGGGGTCAGGGAAAGCCCCCAAGGGGAGGTGCTTTCTGAACTGGGCCCTGAAAGCAGTGGAGTGCAGGAGGTGTGGAATGGGCACTTCCAGGAGGGCATGCCTTGTGCAAAGGCACAGGGGTGGGGAGACCCAGGGCGCTGCAGAGGGCTCCGGGCTGGCCAGCAGGGCCTGGGTGTGGAGATCCTGGAGAGACAGCGGGAGCCCCAGCTGGGAGTTCTGTGGCCAGACAGTGTCTGAGAGGAAGAGACGGCAGGGACTGCCCTGCTCCTCCTCGCCGGGACCTGGCAGATACTCCCCCCACTGGCCAGACGAGGGAAGGGGCCCGAGGTGGCCTGGAGCAGGCCCACCCTGGGCCTGGGTCACCCTGCGTGGTGTTGATACACTGGGGTGGGGGCAGGAGGAAGCATGGGCATTCACCCCAGTTTATCCAGAGAGACTGAGAAGCTGGGGAGGCCCGCATCTCAGGTCCCCATACTCTGCCCGCCCTCTGCCAGGGCTGAGGCTGGGGAACCGCTGGGGGAGGGCTGAGGCAGGGCCCGGGTGTCAGCCAACACCTGATGGTGTCCTCCTGACCCCTTGCAGGTACGAATTTGGCCCAGCCCTGTTCGTGGGTTGGGCCTCTGCTGGCCTCGCCATGCTGGGGGGCTCCTTCCTCTGCTGCACGTGCCCGGAGCCTGAGAGAGCCAACAACAGCCCGCAGCCCTACCGGCCCGGCCCCTCGACTGCAGCCCGAGAGTACGTCTGAGCCCCTGCCCGCGCCCAGCAGCCTCCCGCCCAGCACTCCGCCGGCCCCTGCAGCACCCTGGCAGGGCCAGCAGGGCACCAGGTGTCCCCGAGCTCCGTCTAGGGCTCTGAGCAGCTTGTGCACAACATAGGCACCCACCCTGCACTTGGAGACCCAGACCCAGACTCTCAGAGAGAGGCCGGAGGCAGGCCCCGCCCCCAGGTGCAGGACAGTCAGGTACAGGCCCAGACTGGCCGCACAGCAGCCCCGGTGCCGGCCACTCCCCAGCCGTTACTCACTCACTGAAGGGCCACGTGAGCGTCCACTCTGTGCTGGGCCCTGGGGACACAGCAGTAAAGACGGACTTTGGTGCCCTGTGCCCTGGGGCGGCCAGAACCCTTCACTCCCCACCCGACCCCGGGCCCATGGGCTCCTCACAGCAACCCCATAAAGGAGGCAGCGCCAGGATGACGAATGTCCCCATGTCACAGAAAGGAAACAGGTTCAGAGAGACCAAGAGGCTTGGCCTGCTCTCTCTGAGTTCAGGTGTCATGCTCTTGCAGTATGCCCAGCGCTGTGTGGACACCCACACAGATGGCTGGGCCAGACCACGTCACCCCCGTCCCCAGGAATGCGCCCCAGGCAGGGCTGCAGTGAGGGCCCAGGTCTGACGGTACTGGCCACTCCCTGTGTCTGGGCCTGAACCCCACAGCCCCTGCCCACCCCCACTGCTGCTCACCCCACTAACCAGCTCTCTCTCTTTTGACTTTCAGACCAGGTGTTAAATTGTCCGCCTCCGTCAAGGGCCCCCTGGGTGTGTAAATGTCCAGGTCCCCAGCCTGCCTCTGTCCCCCTGCCACACCTAGACTGTGTTTGGTATTTTTTGGAAAGATAAGTGAACATCCAGCCCCAAGTGTGGTGTCATTTGATCTGTCCCCGGCATGGCTAGGGTGAGGCCTGGCTCAGGGAGGTCAGAGCTGATCCCTGGGGTCCTTGGACATAAAGGTGGGGAGACAGAGGTCCAGGGTGGGAGACACAGAACATCCAACCTTGATCCGGAAAGAACTCAGGGCCCCTGTCCCGCCATGGGCTTGGCACCAGGAAGCCCTTGAAGGAAGACCCCACCCTGAGGCCTGGCCCAGGGCCGGGATCTGGCCCCGGGGCCAGGGAGGCCCTGGTCTGAAGAGAGACAGCCCCTCCCCTGTTACTCTGCCTGCCCCTGGGAGCCCTGCTGGGGTTCAGGGTAGTCCCAGGGAGGCCCTTCAGCTGGGTGCTGGGTATCAGATCCAGGGTGAGGGGACACTGTAGGAGCTCGCTAAGTGGAGAAGGGCTAGGGGAAGGACGTTAGGGCCTTTCAGGCTTTAGGATTGTCCTGAGCAAGGTCAGATGCCCCCAGCTCTGCTCCCACCCCAATGCTGCCCATTTCTCCCATGCTCATTTGTCCTCACCAGTCTGCTGAGGTCCCGCTGCATCACTGCCCTGGGTCCGGGATGGGGGGGGGGGGCTGCCTGAGACTGTGGCCTGAGCTCCATCCTCACCCAGAGGTGCGGTCAGAGCTGGAAGGGCTTTCGGTCCTGAAGTACAGATACCACCCCCTAGTATTGAAGGGGGAGACGCCCTCAGAGGAATGTAGGGAATTTAACTGGGTCAGCCCCTGCCCTCGTGCTCGGGCCTCTCCCACCCCAACTGTCCTCCCTGGACCCTGAGTCTCTGGCCACTGCCCTCCCTCTCTCCCGTCTGGAAGGGGCTGTTTATGACCAACCCTTGACTTCTGCATGGCCTCCTCAGCCAGATCTGTTCTGGCTTCCTCCACCACCTGTCTCGTGACCACATCTCCCACCAAGTCACCAAATCCCAAGGACATGGCTCAGCCCTCTCCCTGGAGCTTGACTCTGAGAGGTGAGGTCAGACCTGACTGTCGCCACACTCCAGCCGAGGGTGGGGATGGGAGGAGAGATGCAAACGGCGGAGCTGCGGTGGCTCGTCTGCACCGTGACCCGGGCCTGACGGCTGCAGCACCTCCACAGGGTGCCCCAGGAGCGGCCATTTCATGCAGCCCGTCCAGCCTCTGGCCAGAGGGGTGGGCACCTGACCCTAAATGGGTTTACCAGAGTCCTGCCCCTCTAATTATGAATGAGAACTACAAAAGAGTCTCTCTGGGCGCCTGAAGCTGTCACGCCACAGTTCTTGGCCCTGGGTGTGCAGTCAAGTCACCTGGAGAGCTGAAGTCCAGGCTCCACCCCTGGACATCCTGGCTTAATTGGCCTGGGTGGAACTGGGCATCTGAGTCCAGGCAGCTCCCCAGGGGCCTGGTCAGCACTGAGGGCACCTCTGTGAGGCCCAAAGCTCAGGGCTGCAGGGGTCTGGGGGCGGGGAGAGAAAGGCACCTCCAAGAAGAGGCGAGGAGAGGAAAGGCCTGTCTCCCTGTGCCTTTCCTGAGACCAGGCTGTTCTGAGAGATCCCACATCCTTCCAATAAACACTCCATGTTGCCAAAACAATTTGAGTTTGATTTCTGTCACACAGAGCCAAAAGAGCCATGACTGACACTGAATTTGGAGCCTGGGAACTGAGCGTGGTGGTGAGGGCTCCTGGTGCGTACGCCAGCTGAGCAGAGTGGGGTGTGGCCCAGGGGCGAAGTTCCCGCTCCCGGGCTGCAGATTTGGCAACACTCTCTCTCTGGTCGTGAAGCAGTCGGCCAGGGAACCATGTGTCGTCTCTTGAGGGTCAGGGTCCTCCAGAGGCTTGGGACTTGCTAGGAAGATGTCGGGATAGAACGTGCTGGCAGTTTCTTGTGGGTTTCAGGGACAGACTGTGAGAGAGGCAAGCTCCGTGCCAGTGGGCAGGCCTGACAGCAGCGTGGGAGCAAGCTTCAGTCTGATCCTTGTGAAGGAAAGCCCTCTCTGCTAATAGCTGGGGGTTGGAGAGGCGGGGAGTCTGATAACCACATACAACCCAATTACATACACTGGTCAATGACGTAGTGGGAGCCTGGCAATGGGAAGGCAATGCCTGGGAGAAGTTAGAGGAGTTGGAAGCTGGAAGTTTGGGAAGCCTGATCCCCCTGGGTCTCTCCGGAAGCAACCTCTCTCAAATGTCCACATCAAGGTCCCCTGGATTGCCAGCCAGCGGCAGGGCCAACTTTCCAGGCCTCCTGCCTGAGCTCCTGTTTACTGTCCCAGCCCCAGGGCTAAAGGATTAGGCGGAGACCCAGGAAGGTGGGGCTCAGACTCCAAGCGCATGATCCTAAAGCTTTTGTCATGTTAGCAGAGTTCCCCCAGAGTGAGATTGGTGGGTCATTGAATACGGTTTTAGGAGGCCTATACCTGACAGCTCAGCCCCTAAGGAAAGCCACAGACCCAACTATCATGGCAACAGAAGGTGCTCAGCGAAGGGGAGTGACCCTGGGCCCTGGAGTAGCTGACCAGGACCACCTGTGCCTGGGAAGAGTCTCGAACACCATGCATCTGAGAATAGGGATATGGATGAGTATTAGATGATGTCAAGGAATTATTGTTTATTTTGTGTTATATGCATCATTAATTTTGTGTGATAATGACACTGGTTTTTTTAATCCTTATCTGTTACACACTGAAATGATATAATGGATGGATTTGTTTTAAAACAAGTCTGGGGGCCGGCCCTGTGGCGTAGCGGTTAAGTGCGCGTGCTCCGCTGCTGGTGGCCTGGGGTTCGCAGGTTTGGATCCCCTGCGCGCACCAACGCACCGCTTGTCAGGCCATGCTGTGGCCGCGTCCCATATAAAGTGGAGGAAGATGGGCATGGATGTTAGCCCAGGGCCAGTCTTCCTCAGCAGAAAAGAGGAGGATTGGCATGGATGTTAGCTCAGGGCTGATCCTCCTCACAAAAAAAAACAACTCTAGGAACACAAAGGTCAGGGCAGAGGAAGTTATGAGATTGGTAGATGCCAGTGGTACTTAGGGGTCACTCTACTCTGTTTGTGTGTATGTTTGCAAGTGAAAAAAAAATAATAGGTTAAAAATACCTCTAAGCTTTGCTGGTTGTATCATTTAATACACCCCACTGACCACTGGAATGAGGGTGATAAATACTCCACAAACTCTTGCTACTGCCCACGGCAGCATCGCCTCACCTGGACACTTGCTAGAAATACAGAATCTCAGGGCTGGCCCCGGTGGTGTAGTGGTTAAGCTCGTGCCCTCTGGGTTTGCAGGTTCGGATCCCAGGCGTGGACCGACAGTTATCAAGTCATGCTGTGGTGGTGGCCCACATACAAAATAGAGGCAGATAGGCACAGATATTAGCTCAGGGCCACTCTCCCTCACCCAAAAACAAAAACAAAAAAGGAAATATAGGATCTCAAGCCCCACCCCAGACCGAGTGAAACAGATGAGGTGTTTTACTGAGATGTCCAGGTGAGTCACACGCAGACTGAAGTTTGAGAAACGCTGATCTAGGCTAGTGAAGGCTGTGTGGTGCTCCTCCTTTTCTAGAGGAGAATTTCAACTGAGCTTACCTGTTCTCCTCCATCATTTGAATATCAGGTATATTGAAAGGGGGTTGATTTGTGATTCCATCTAGAGTTGGCCAGATTATGGAGAGTCACAACTAAACCTGATCCAGGCGAAACTGGAGACGAAGGACGACACCCAGAGCAGGGCTCCCTGACCTTTTCTCCTCAGAGAGCACCTCCAAATAATACTTGGTTCAATTTATGAGAATACTGCCGGCCGTTTTATTCTGGACAACATTTCTGTGGAAAATAACTAAAAATGTTGGGGAAAGTGTAAAACATTCTTCAAAGCATCAAAGGGCTGGCACTGTCCTATGGAATCACCAAGTCAAACCTGAGAAGCACGCCTTCTCCCTCTGGGCCACATGGTGGCCACAAGGCCACCACGGAGCTGAAGAGTACTTGGCTGGCAGCGTTGGAGGCCGGTTCCATAGAAGGGGATTGTAGAAATAAATGAATATACTGAAGATAATGGGAGTCAGGCTTCTCACTGCCAGAGAACAGACTGACAAAGAGGGAAAGGGGAAAGACTAGAATAAATCCTGTGGTGTTGGACTGGAATTGGAGGTATCTGGATGAACACATGGCTTTTAATATATGTAGATAAAGATTGAAATAGATATCATCGTGTGTGTGTGTATGTGTGTGATATATGTACATACATATATCTATGAGCTCAATCCCCTAGAAAGGCCTAGAAGCAATGACACCCGAGTAGTAAGCTCATATCTTGATTTCTGAATACCATTCTCCACTAAAAGTTACCATAGCTCTGTGGAGAAATGGCTGATTTGAGGGCTGGGATAAGGAAAGTACAAAATAAGTTTGCAGCACCTTCATGTTCCAGAAAGTAACAAAGTGCTCAAGGAATGATGGAGACATGTCTAAAGGATGCAGAAACCAGATTAAAGCGGTTCCTACTGGCTTTATCTGGGACAATTTGAGCACCAAAATAAATAATTTTAGTAATGGATTTTAACTCAGAGAATAAAAATAAGAATCCATTAGTTCATACCAATATGAATAATTAAATAAGTGGGGAAGAAGAAAATTTACTTTACAGTAAAATGCCAACTAATATGAATAATTTATTTACTAAGTACAAAATACTTAACTTTACAGTGGTGAAACATAGCAGATACATCTTAATCAAGTGATAAGAGTTAACACCACCAGTAATGGGACAAGTCAGAATTGTGTGCCCTTTGATATAATGCACTGAGAAGAACACAGCATCATTTATATGATAGTCTTGCTAAAGGTGCAAAAATGGAATTACTGATGACAAGACAGAAAAATCCAAATTGAGGTTATTCTACAAAATAACTGCCTGTACTCTTCAAAACTGTCAAAGTTATGGAAGTCAAGGAAAGACTGAGGAGCTGTTCCAGATTGAGGAGATTGAAGACACCTTATAACTAAATGCAACCATTGATCCTGGATTGTATTCTGGTCCTATAAATGACATTCTTGGGACAACTAGTGAAATTTGAATGGTGTCTGTGGTTTAGATGAAGTAGTATATCCAAGTTAATTTCCTGAGCTTGATAGTTTCCAACAGTGGTTTTAT